TAAAAGCAACTTTCTGATTGTGTTACTTTCCTTAACAGTCACTTCGCTTGTGGTCAGGAGTGAAGTCAGTCAGGAACTCTGACTTGGGTACATCTTGAGGGGAGGTGGGAGGGAAGGGAGCAAGTGGGGTGAACATATCTCTAGTTGAATGTTGTTGGCTGGGTCATAGGACCTCAGCTCTGAGAGGGAGAATGGGATCCAGCAGGCTTCTAGGGCACAAGGGAGCCAGGGACTGGCACTGCCAGGGTGGAGCCCCTGGCAGCCATCCCTTCAGAGGCCTAACACCTCAGTGATGTTCTTTTTCTCTCTGTGGCCCAGGCTGAGTTGGCTGTCATTCTTAAATTTGTGCTGGACCATGAGGATGGGCTAAACCTTAATGAGGACCTAGAGAACTTCCTACAGAAAGGTGAGTAGGTACATACTCCTGAGAATCCCCTCATCTCTAAAATGGGGAATACTAGGATTCTGAGTTGTCAAGAAGTGCGGTGGGGGTTTGTTTCTGTCCCCAACACAAGGCAGAGTTGGTGGTCAGGAAAAGTGTGTGTAATGGAGTAGGTCGATTTCTGGGTCATGTATCATCTCAGTTCCTATGGAGCTCCTCCTTGCTGCCTGGCAGCAGTGATGTAGGATATTTACAAGTGATCATACCTACTTTTGTTTTTTATTTTTTAAACAATCATTACTCTAGGCTTAGAAGCTGATAATGCGCAGTCTTTTTTTTTTTTTTTTGAGATGGAGTCTCTCTCTGTCACCCAGGCTGGAGTGCAATGGTGTGATCTCAGCTCACTGCAACCTCCGCTTCCCAAGTTCAAGCAATTCTCCTGCTTCAGCCTCCTAAGTAGCTGGAATTATAGGTGCACGCCACCACACCTGGCTAATTTTTGTATTTTTTGTAGAGATGGCATTAAACCATGTTGATTAGGCTGGTCTCAAACTCCTGACATCAGGTGATCTACCTGCCTCAGCCTCCCAAAGTGTTAGGATTATAGGCATGAGCCACTGCGCCCAGCCCACAGTCTTTTAAAAAATGTTTTTCCTATCATGTAGCACATGTTCTAGGTGGAAAGGCAGATACATAAACCAGGAAATATGATAAGGAATCTAAGCATGGAATATATCAATGGTCTCGGCTGGTGCTACAGTAGAAAGAGTGATCGTTCTGCTGGTTTTCTGATGAAGAGGTCAGCTGGTGGATGATAGGAATGTAAGAAGGAGGTCTAGGCGAGTTCTAGCCATTGAGTTTGATGTTCCTTGTATTCAGGTTCCTCATGAGACCTTCAGGTGGAGATGTTGGAAATATGAGTCCAGAATTCAGGAGCTGGCTCTGGACCAGAAGATAGGTTTGCAAGTCAGCAAGTCAGCATTGGATGGCCACTGAAGCCGTGGGCACTATGGGCAGAGCCAGGAGGCCCCATCAGATCTCTGGGAGCTTAGAGGGTGGGTAGAGGAGGGAGGAGCAGATGAGGAGACTAAGAATAGGTAATTAGAGGTAGGAAAGTCCTACAAAAGTGGTCACAGAAACCAAGGAAAGAGAAGGGTTTTGAGGAGGAGGGCATTTTGGAGGTACAAGACTTTGGGGGGAAGAATTCCAAATGGCAGTCAGTGGCTCTGATAGGAAAGGTTGTTGGGGGCTGCGAGGAGATCCTGCTCAGGGCTCCCCAAGCCGTCTCTGCAGTATGGACTTGAGGAAAAAGCTGAGCACTTGGTGCAGTTTCTGAACCAGAGAACACCCTCACTCCACTGTGCTCTGAGTAGTGATGCTCTGTAGAAATAGAAGCCCTGCACTTTATTTTGGTTAGAGACACGGAACTGTGGATAACCCAGACACCAGGTTCTGCCCAGTGCCTTCCTTGGTAGTTTACATATAAGTATCCACAGATTCACTCCCACTAAGGCCAAGTTCTCAGATTGCATAAAGATGCAAATCTTTTCACCTTCTTACTAATCTTTGTTGATTTATTTTGTCTATTTCTTACCCCCAGCTCCTGTCCCTTCTACCTGTTCTAGCACATTCCCTGAAGAGCTCTCCCCACCTAGCCGCCAGGCCAAGAGGGAGATTCGCTTCCTAGAGCTACAGAAGGTTGCCTCCTCTTCCAGTGGGAACAAGTATGTTCTGGGCCTTTCCTCCTGGGATAGGGCCTCAGCATCCATCTATTCCTCACATTCCTACCTTCTAGAGTTAAGCTGTTGACCAGCCTCTAGGAGTGCTTGGAGAATCCTGTAGATCTGGGATCTCCTCACCTACCCAGTATTAATGGGGGGAATTGGTTGGGATTTGTCATGCACAGAAGGTCTCCCTCAAAAGCTGTTCCCTGTTTATGGAATACCCTTCTTCCTCAAAGACTACAATGAAGTCCCTTCTCTTAGCACATCTCTGCAGAGCCAAGGATAATATATCACTTTTTTTTTTCTGACAAAGAAATTAAGGCAGTGAGAAGAAAAATTTTCTCAAGATCATGTCATGAGGCTTGAGGTAGCACTGCAAATAGAACCCAGGTGCACAGGCCTCCCAGCTGCTAGTGGACACTTCCACAGACCCCACTCCCTTCCTGCTGCCTGTTGCTGATTGCTTCAGATCTTAGACTCTTACCAATGCAACTGGGCCTTTTCCCTCCTCAGCTTTCTCTCAGGTTCTCCAGCTTCTCCCATGGGCGATATCCTGCAGACCCCACAGTTCCAGATGAGACGGCTAAAGAAGCAGCTTGCCGATGAGAGAAGTAATAGGGATGAGCTGGAGCTGGAGCTGGCTGAGAACCGCAAGCTCCTCACCGAGAAGGGTAGGTGGCTGGCATGCTGGCAGATGTGTGAATAGACTTGCCAGAAGGATGTCCCCTTGGCCTCTCATGTTGTCCCCTCTGCTGGACCCTGGAGCTTAGAGCTCAGCCCTGGGCCTGTGGTCAGGCTGACCTCCTGGAAGTTGGGTTCTGTCTTTGTCCCCATCTTCTCTTTCCCTTAGATTGGATACCATATTCCTCCTCCTCTGTATGCCTCCTCCTCCCTATGCCACCTCCTCCCTTCCCCTCCTGCACATAGTTCTGTGCCGATTCTCCTCTCCTCCTCCCTCCACTCTGGGCAGATGCACAGATAGCCATGATGCAGCAGCGCATTGACCGCCTAGCCCTGCTGAATGAGAAGCAGGCAGCCAGCCCACTGGAGCCCAGGGAGCTTGAGGAGCTACGTGACAAGAATGAGAGGTACAACTCTCCCTACATTCCTTCCCAGGCTCCCGCCCCTCCGTCCACCCAGCCAGGGGCCCATCCATACTCTCTTCTCGCTGCTTCCCTCCCTCGCAGCCTTACCATGCGGCTGCATGAAACCCTGAAGCAGTGCCAGGACCTGAAGACAGAGAAGAGCCAGATGGATCGCAAGATCAGCCAGCTTTTGGAGGAGAATGGAGACCTTTCCTTTAAGGTGGGTGTTAAGGTGGTGTGTGCATGGAGGCCTCTCAGGGCTGAGGTGGTCTGGAAGGCTCCCCAAGAGAGGGTTGAGAAGAATGTCCCAGCACCTGTCTTACGCTACAGTCTCTCCAGAGACCTGCATATTTTGCCCCTTTCCTTGTCCCATAATTGGCTGCTTCCCGGGTACTGGGTTGTGACCCTAAAGTTTGATTTGTGGTCCTGAATTAGAGGTGTGATGGCTGTGATTGGTTTGTGGAGGGTTGGCAGGATAATTGGAGGCATCCAGCCCCTGGGGTTCAGGGAGCAGACAGCAGTGGTAGGGTCAGCGTTGACCCTGGGTGATGGGGATTCTCACTTGCCCATCTCAGCTGCGGGAGTTTGCCAGTCACCTGCAGCAGCTACAGGATGCCCTCAATGAGCTGACAGAGGAGCACAGCAGGGCCACTCAGGAGTGGCTGGAGAAGCAGGCCCAGCTGGAGAAGGAGCTCAGCACAACCCTGCAGGATAAGGTAACCCTCTGCTGGGGTCACAGCCACAGTCTTGACCACATATGCAAAGCTGAATCCAGTTTACCACTGTGCTTTTCTGGGCCTTTGGTTATTAAGCTGCTTTGTCTTCAAGGTTTGATAGTGTGCTGTAATTGAAAGGTTGAAAGATTGTGGGCTTCAGTCTAGTACACCTTTCTTTTTTTAAAATTTATTTTTATTTTTTTCCCCAGTCAGTGCCCTCACTTTATAGTATACCTTTCAATCCTATCTCTGGTGTTTATAAGATGTGGATCTTGGACAAGTTAATCAGTCTGTTTTTCTAAGCATTCTTTCCCTAAAATGGGAGTAATAACGAGTAGCAGCCTTATCACCTATTATGAGAAAATGTATGTAAAGCACTTCACACATCACGTAGTGTAAAGTAAGCTCTCAGTGAACCAGTTGTTATGGTTGCTATTGGTAAGAACCCAACTTGGCCACTTAGTAATAACCATGTAGCCCTTGATCTTGGCACTTAGCATCTGCTTCAGGTTCTTGCTCTGTAAGAGAAATAGTAATAGCTGCCTCTCACATTTGTAAGTGAATTAGAAATTCAGGAATGCACCCAGGCCGGGCACGGTGGCTCACGCCTGTAATCCCGGTACTTTGGGAGGCCAAGGCGGGTGGATCACCTGATGTCAGGAGTTTGAGACCAGCCTGGCCAGCATGGTGAAACCCTGTCTCTACTAAAAATACAAAAAGAAAAATTAGCTGGGTGTAGTGATGCATGCCTGTAGTCCCAGCTACTCGGGAAGCTGAGACAGAAGAAGCTCTTGAACCTGGGAGGCGAAGGTTGCAGTAAGCCAAGATCTCGCCACTGCACTCCAGCGTAGGCGACAGAGCAAGACTGCGTCTCAAAAAAAAAAAATAGGGATGCACCCAGCACAGCCTCTTACAGGTGCTTAGTGAACAGTGGTGAAGAAGTGGGTTTGGGCCTGGGGGATGTTGCAGCTGCTGCCAGTGCTGCCCAGAGGATGGTGGGCAGCTGGTGGTGATTTGGATAATCTAGGAATCAGGACTTATCTGGGGAAGGGTATACAGTAAGGAAATTTGAAGTAAACTCAGCAGCCTTGGGGAAGTAGTAAGAAGGTCACATTATGATTTTATTCTGCCTTAGAACTAGGTCTAGAGAGTCAGGTCCCTCATGCTCCCAGTTCCATGATTTCTGCTTTTTTCTAGGTCATGGCAAAGGGATATCTTGGTAACAAGATGATGGGCCCCATGTTTGTTGATGTTTATGAGGGCTTGTGTGGTAATCTGGTGCCTGTTCCACCTCTCTGTTCACATGGGTCTCATTTACTCCCAGAAATGCCTTGAAGAGAAGAACGAAATCCTTCAGGGAAAACTTTCACAGTTGGAAGAACACTTGGCCCTGCTGCGGGAGAACCCACCCCAGGAGAAGGGCGAGGTGCTGGGTGATGTCTTGCAGGTAGGAATGCACAGGACGACCTGTGTGCTGGGAGTTGGTGTGGACTCACATTCAGTACCTTTGGGTTCCTGGTGTTCTGCCATTTCCAGAGGAGGCTTGGTGACTGAGGAGTCATGCTGATCCCAGTTTATCTCTTTATACCACCAGCTGGAAACCCTGAAACAAGAGGCAGCCACTCTTGCTGCAAACAACACACAGCTCCAAGCCAGGGTGGAGACGCTGGAGACTGAGCAAGGCCAGCAGGAAGCCAAGCTGCTTGCTGAGCGGGACCACTTTGAAGAAGAAAAGCAGCAGCTATCTAGCCTGATCGCCAACCTGCAGAGCTCCATCTCCAACCTCAGCCAGGCCAAGGAAGAGCTGGAGCAGGCCTCCCAGGCTCATGGGGCCCGGTTGACTGCCCAGGTGGCCTCTCTGACCTCTGAGCTCACCACACTCAATGCCACCATCCAGCAACAGGATAAAGAACTGGCTGACCTGAAGCAGCAGGCCAAAGAGGAGCAGGCCCAGCTAGCACAGACCCTCCAACAGCAAGAACAGGCCTCCCAGGGCCTCCGCCACCAGGTGGAGCAGCTGAGCAGTAGCCTGAAGCAGAAGGAGCAGCAGTTGAAGGAGGTAGCAGAGAAGCAGGAGGTAACTAGGCGGGACCACGCCCAGCAACTGGCCACTGCTGCAGAGGAGCGAGAGGCCTCCTTAAGAGAGCGGGATGCGGCTCTCCAGCAGCTGGAGGCACTGGAGAAGGAGAAGGCTGCGAAGCTGGAGATTCTGCAGCAGCAACTTCAGGTGGCTAATGAAACCCGGGACAGTGCTCAGACCTCAGTGACACAGGCCCAGCGGGAGAAGGCAGAGCTGAGCCAGAAGGTGGAGGAACTCCGCGCCCGTGTTGAGACAGCCTGCCGGGAACAGCATGAGGCCCAGGCCCAGGTAGCAGAGCTAGAGTTCCAGCTGCAGTCTGAGCAGCAAAAAGCAACTGAGAAAGAAAGGGTGGCCCAGGAGAAGGACCAGCTCCAGGAGCAGCTCCAGGCCCTCAAAGAGTCCTTGAAGGTCACCAAGGGCAGCCTTGAAGAGGAGAAGCGCAGGGCTGCAGATGCCCTGGAAGAGCAGCAGCGTTGTATCTCTGAGCTGAAGGCAGAGACCCGAAGCCTGGTGGAGCAGCATAAGCAGGAACAAAAGGAGCTGGAAGAAGAGAAGGCTGGGCGCAAGGGACTGGAGGCTCGATTACAGCAGCTTGGAGAGGCCCATCAGGCCGAGACTGAAGCCCTGCGGCAGGAGCTGGCAGAGGCCATAGCTGCCCAGCGCACAGCTGAGAGTGAGTGTGAGCAGCTTGTCAAAGAAGTAGCTGCCTGGCGTGAACGGTATGAGGAGAGCCAGCAAGAGGAGGCGCAGTATGGCGCCATGTTCCAGGAACAGCTGATGACTTTGAAGGAAGAATGTGAGAAGGCCCGCCAGGAGCTGCAGGAGGCAAAGGAGAAGGTGGCAGGCATAGAATCCCACAGCGAGCTCCAGATAAGCCGGCAGCAGAATGAGCTAGTTGAGCTCCACGCCAACCTGGCCAGAGCACTCCAGCAGGTCCAAGAGAAGGAAGTCAGGGCCCAGAAGCTTGCAGACGACCTCTCCGCTCTGCAGGAAAAGATGGCTGCCACTAGCAAAGAGGTGGCCCGCTTGGAGACTTTGGTGCGCAAGGCAGGTGAGCAGCAGGAAACAGCCTCCCGGGAGTTAGTCAAGGAGCCTGCGAGGGCAGGGGACAGAGAGCCTGAGTGGCTGGAAGAGCAGCAGGGACGCCAGTTCTGCAGCACACAGGCAGCGCTGCAGGCTATGGAACGGGAGGCAGAGCAGATGGGCAATGAGCTGGAGCGGCTGCGGGCTGCACTGATGGAGAGCCAGGGGCAGCAGCAGGAGGAGCGTGGGCAGCAGGAAAGAGAGGTGGCACGACTGACCCAGGAGCGGGGCCGGGCCCAAGCTGATCTTGCCCTGGAGAAGGCGGCCAAAGCAGAGCTTGAGATGCGGCTGCAGAATGCCCTCAATGAGCAGCGTGTGGAGTTTGCTACCCTGCAAGAGGCACTGGCTCATGCCTTGACGGAAAAGGAAGGCAAGGACCAGGAGTTGGTCAAGCTTCGTGGCCTGGAGGCAGCCCAGATAAAAGAGCTGGAGGAACTTAGGCAAACCATGAAGCAACTGAAGGAACAGCTGGCTAAGAAAGAAAAGGAGCATGCATCTGGCTCAGGAGCCCAATCTGAGGCTGCTGGCAGGACAGAGCCAACAGGCTCCAAGCTGGAGGCGCTGCGGGCAGAGGTGAGCAAGCTGGAGCAGCAATGCCAGCAGCAGCAGGAGCAGGCCGACAGTCTGGAACGCAGCCTCGAGGCTGAACGGGCCTCCCGGGCTGAGCGGGACAGTGCTCTGGAGACTCTGCAGGGCCAGTTAGAGGAGAAGGCCCGGGAGCTAGGGCACAGTCAGAGTGCCTTAGCCTCGGCCCAAAGGGAGTTGGCTGCCCTCCGCACCAAGGTACAAGACCACAGCAAGGCTGAAGATGAGTGGAAGGCCCAGGTGGCCCGGAGCCGGCAAGAGGCTGAGAGGAAAAACAGCCTCATCAGCAGCTTGGAGGAGGAGGTGTCCATCCTAAATCGCCAGGTCTTGGAGAAGGAGGGGGAGAGCAAGGAGTTGAAGCGGCTGGTGATGGCTGAGTCAGAGAAGAGCCAGAAGCTGGAAGACAGGCTGCGCCTGCTCCAGGCAGAGACAGCCAGCAACAGTGCCAGAGCTGCAGAACGCAGCTCTGCTTTGCGGGAGGAGGTGCAGAGCCTCCGGGAGGAGGCCGAGAAACAGCGGGTGGCTTCAGAGAACCTGCGGCAGGAGCTGACCTCACAGGCTGAGCGTGCGGAGGAGCTGGGCCAAGAATTGAAGGCGTGGCAGGAGAAGTTCTTCCAGAAAGAGCAGGCCCTCTCCACCCTGCAGCTCGAGCACACCAGCACACAGGCCCTGGTGAGTGAGCTGCTGCCAGCTAAGCACCTCTGCCAGCAGCTGCAGGCCGAGCAGGCCGCTGCCGAGAAACGCCACCGTGAGGAGCTGGAGCAGAGCAAGCAGGCAGCTGGGGGGCTGCGGGCAGAGCTGCTGAGGGCCCAGCGGGAGCTTGGGGAGCTGATTCCTCTGCGGCAGAAGGTGGCAGAGCAGGAGCGAACAGCTCAGCAGCTGCGGGCAGAGAAGGCCAGCTACGCAGAGCAGCTGAGCATGCTGAAGAAGGCGCATGGCCTGCTGGCAGAGGAGAACCGGGGGCTGGGTGAGCGGGCTAACCTTGGCCGGCAGTTTCTGGAAGTGGAGTTGGACCAGGCCCGGGAGAAGTATGTCCAAGAGTTGGCAGCTGTACGTGCTGATGCTGAGACTCGTCTGGCTGAGGTGCAGCGGGAAGCACAGAGCGCTGCCCGGGAGCTGGAGGTGATGACTGCCAAGTATGAGGGTGCCAAGGTCAAGGTCCTGGAGGAGAGGCAGCGGTTCCAGGAAGAGAAGCAGAAACTCACTGCCCAGGTAAGGTACTCAGCCCAACCACCCTCCCAAAGATCAGGAGCTGAGAGCGTAGGGACATCGATCCTGTGTTCCAGGGCCTCTGTCTCCTACACTGGAGTGTCTTGCCTTTCCTCATTCACTGGGTGGCAGAAAAGGAGAGGTGGCTGATGGAGTTCAAGTCTGTTGCCCCTGTCATCCTAAAGAAAATGTCAGTGGCCTCCCCGCTCCTGAAGGCTCTGTCACTAGAGAGTCAAGCTGTGATGACCACCAGCCCATTCAGAGGTGCACCTGCACTGGATGCCTCAGGAGCCACTGGGGACTAGAATCAGTCTAACTGGCATTTTTAAACTTACTGTCAATCTAGCGCCTTAGGGGAAAGTATCAGAGCCTCAGTGAGGTCAGCCTGGCAGCAGGGCTGGTGCCTCTTTGGCCTCATCTCACTCTGTCTCCATTGCTCCTCCCACATGTACAGGTGGAGCAGCTAGAGGTATTTCAGAGAGAGCAAACTAAACAGGTAATGCCTGGGGTCCTCCCTAAGTGCTGGCTGCTTAAACGGTGACCAGTCTCAGTGCATGAGCCCGGCTGCAGCTTGCCTCCGCCAGCTCCTGTTGTGAACTGTTTGTGAAGGGGGCAGGGTCAAGCCATGGAATCCAGGCCCAGGCTCCCCAGGAGTGCGGTGTGCTGGGCTCTCTCGGGCTTCATCGCACCCGTCCCAGGTCGGCCTCTCCACCCTTCTGCACCTTCTCTCATCTGGCTATCAGGGACAAGGGGTAGCACTGGCTTCATCTTTCCCACACCTGAACCAACGACAGACACAATCTTTGGGATTCTAAAACTTCCCAAGTACTCTGTCTAGTTAAGGATACCCAACTAAGAGGAACAGCAGAATTACCTGTGGGCCTCGTTTAACATTGTGTCCCTTTTTACCAGAGTACAGCTTTATGGAAGCCTTGAAGGTGATATGCAAGGCAGCCCCCACAGGTTAGGGAGAATTGTGGGCTCAGGACACTTGCCCATCACTTTCTGGGGCTCTAACCCCAAGCACAGCATAGAGATGTCTGTAGCAGGAAGGCTGAGGGTGAAGTAGCAGGAGGGGTCTATACCAGATGGGGGGAGGGGAGGGGGGGGGTCACATGGTCTGGCTGCCTCTTTCTCACAGGAATCTTTGTGTTGCCTGAGACATCGAGGCTATAGAGCTAGTGTTAGAGCACCCTTTCCCTGTCACTCTCCTACCCAGCCACCCCAGGACTGCCGAAAAATTGGGCCCTCCTCTTCCTCTAAGGAGCCTGTGATAATGGGGGAGAATCAAAGTGAATAGCAAACAGTTAGCAATGGAGCCCTTGCCTCTCCCCTGTGCTGCCTGGTCATGCTTGAACTCCCAGAATACTTGAAGCAGCCAGGGGTGCATGGGGCTGTTATGTTCTTTCTTTTCCCCTACTCCCTGTGCTCCTCTTTGTGGGAGTTGGGTGGGCTTTGGAGTACATGTGCTACACCTGCTCTTGTCTTCCAGCAATCTGTTCCCCCAATGCTAACCACAGCAGCCATGCTGCTAGCACCAGCCCTAACAGCGTGTGGATGTTGGGAAGAGGTCTGAGCATCTGTGGGCTTGGGCTTTGGCAGTTTCTGGGAGGGAGGCATGAAAATTCATTGAGTATGTCGGCTAGAA